CGCGCAGCCAGGTTGCAGTGCGGCCCCTCACGGGGGTGTGAAGTCCCCCTGTACCTGCCCTGGGCACTGGGCAGCGAGGGAGGGAGAAGCGGGGGAGACCTCTCGTTTTACACCATCTGTGGATCGGGCCCTTCTTTTTGCTGCTTAAAAGCAGCTTCTTGTTTTGTTTTCTGCAGCCACTGAATTTGGCTAATGTTGCCTGCTCCATCTTTCTTCCTAAAATGCCCATCTGCATAGACTTCCCACCCTCCCAGCCTTAACAGGCATGGCGTTGAGTGTCCTGTTTTCTAAATGCAAGTAGGTTTGGTGGTTAGGGAGAGGGTAGGTGAGCAGCCTCCCTGCTTTCTCTCTGGCAGATCTCGGCCGGGCTGGTGGTCACCCACAGCCCATTTATTTCCCTGCAATCAATGGCTCTGGCGCTTCCTATGTGATGCTACTTGGCCATTATCACCGAGAATGGCTCATCTCAGATCTGCGGTGCTACGGGCAGCTCTTGGAAACTTCTCAAACTTCAGTGCACCTTGCCAGCTGAGGAGGGAGGAGGTGGGGTGAGGTGCCCGGGCATGGGACACTCAGACGTGTGTGGGTATTTTGTGTTTTCCGCTCCTGCTAGCGTGTAAAAGTCTCCCCTGGAGGAGGTGGATCCAGTACTTGCGCAGCACAGAGTAAGTCTGCAGTAAATTTTACCTGTTGAGAGGAAATGTGGCTCTCCTCCTAACTGCTGTCCTTATGAAGCTTGAACACTTAAGCGGGGAACTTTGTATTAGACAAATACATTCCTGCCTGACCCCATTTGGACGTGTTACTGTCAAACTGGCAAGGTTTTTTAGGCCTCAGCAGATGCATTTAAGCTAATAGCCCTTGTTCCCTAATCCTTCTTTGGTGGGGACTTTATATGTCAAGGTATTGTGTGAAGTTAATTTTTGCCAGGACTGTGTGTTTTTTTTGACTGTGCTGTGCAAGTACTTCAGTATTCTGACATGGCTGGCACTGTGCTGGCTGTTGCATTTTGATCCTTTTCCTCCTTACAATTGATACTTTACAGGCCTGATAAGCACAATAGTAACATACTGCAAAAGTAAAGACTATATTACAAGTCAAATACTGTGTAGGTTTTTTTTTTTTCTGGCAGGGTCTGCACAATTCCATTCAGTTCCAGTAGCAAAGCAGTAGATTCATTAAGATTCAGCTATGTTTTGTATTTTGTCTTTTTAAATATGCACACTGCTGCCTCAGAGTAGCGAGGATGTGTTCTGCACATGTGTAATGAATAGCAAGTGCAACTGATTGCGGAGCCTTGCCAGTCCTTTTTGTGTTAGTGGTAACGAATGTGCGCGCGTGGGAGCGGGTGTGCATTAATGAGGGTACTGAGGCATCTCCAGTGCTGCAGGGCAGCCGCAGGTGATGGCAACAGCTCATTTAGTGGGTGGGAGGTGTCCCCAGTGTGGTGGGGTGGCTGGAGTCACCTGGGGCTGGTGAGGCAGGTGGAGGGGAAGGGCTGGGCTGGGGAAGAATGTGTGGGACTTGGGAGCCCTGAGGAGCAGGTGGCAAAAGCGGGCAAGTAAGTTATTGCTAATAATATGCACAGGGGATATGTGCCCATTCTGGTGGGGATATCCTGTTGCTGCCATGGCTGGTATGGAGAGTCTTCATCTTGCCACTAGCCAGGCAGGGTGCTTATGCAGGGAAATCCTTTAATGATAGAGATGGATGGACTCAAAGAGCACTGTTGAGCAATGAACTGGTGCTCCACAAGGAGGAATATGACTACAAGAATCTTTCCTATTACTTAAGAAATGAAGGTTGCAAGCATCAGCAAACAGCAGCATTTCTTTCCTTTAAACGCAGGCAGGGATGTGCTTTAATCCGAACTCTAACCTGGCATGCACAAGAGGTGGCCCTCCTGTTTCAAAGGCAGGGTGAAGCAGCTGCAGGAATCTCATAGGGTAGAGTGTGCAGGGCCAGGTGGGGTGTGAGCCTGGGAGGCCAGGGCTGGTGGCCGGCAGGGTGGCACCCGTGAAGCGGAAAGAGCTTTGGCTGTTGGACTCGCGTGGTGGGAAGTGAAGGAGGGATTGTGAAACTCTCCTGGGAATGGGTTTCCTTTCCCAGCCTCTGCAAATGGGGTTGCAAGGCCAGCTGCACAGGAAGATGTTGCCTCTTGACTCTTGTTAGGCTACTAAAGCTATGAAGGATGATCTTGGTGTGTGGCAGGGTTTTTTCTGCTGGGCCACAGTAAAGAGTGTCTTCTCCCATTGGTGAAGATGCGGTTTAAAAATCCACCTTCTCGCTGTGATTTAGGAAGTATGTGTGAGGCATAAGGGGCAACAGACCTGCAGGGAGCAGAGGGCAGGCATGAGTAAGAGCGGTAGCTGTACCCTCAGCTATGTAGTGACAAGGACAGAGCTGCTCATCTCTTGCTCCTCCTCTGTTCCCTGCAAGCACTCTCTCTCCTCCTTCCTGTGCGTTTTGCCCTTAAATATGAGATTCATACATAAATGTTCCATCTTGTGCTCCCTGTTAGAGCGGCACCGTGGCTCCTTGCCTACTTGCCCCACGTGTCAGATGTGGCTGGCTGGTCTGTGACCAGCCATCTCCAGACCCTGGTGGGGGAAGAGGTGCTGAATACACCGCTACTGATGAGGGCTGTGTTGGTGGCACCCTTACGCATCCACCATCCCTATCAAGTCCTCTCAGACCAACACCTTGTCCCTATCAAGTCCTCTCAGACCAACCCCTTGTCACTACAGTTATGGGTTATTCCCCTGTGATGCAGCCCCATGCGTGTAGTCTAAGATGTCAAGTGATACAAGCCTTGAGAGATTTGTAAGATTATTACTGTATTTTTAATGTGTTAAAGCACTGTAATGGAAATCCGAGTGACTTGCAGCCAGGTTCTTCAAAGAAAGGTGTTTGGCATTCTTGTTTTACTGTCTCTGTTGAGCAAAGACGGAAGCTTTGCATTTCTTGTCTGAGGGTCTCCCTGGGGTCTGCAGGGCGTTGCTAGTGTTTGCAGTGCTCCTCTAAGGAGACAAGCATTGTTTGTCTGTGGAGGAGAGGTTGTCTTCTTAACAGAAGCTGACAGTTTAGTCTTGACAAGGATTAAAATGGTGACTTGGTAGAAAGACGAGGTGTTTGCTTGCTAGTTAACATGTTTAAGCTGGGAGGAGAAAGGGGTGTGGGTCTGTTTGGGACTCTGGCACATGTTCTTTTTAACAAGTTCTTGCAAACACAAGGAGGTATGCTTGGGATTAAACTGCAAAGTGGAGACATGAATGAAAGATGCCCTGGTAACAATCTGAGGCCCTTTATAAACTCTTGTTAATCAGAGTCAGGCATGGATTGGTTTGTATTAATGTGATCTAGGCTCTATACAAATGTATGTGGTTTCTCCTCAGCTGAGCATCAGCACAGCTGTTGTGTTTAGCTAATTGTCTTGGTGTAATTGGCAACTTGAGAAAACAGGGCAATGTACTGCCCTGTACCAAACCCAATGCAATTTTCAGCTGCTGGGCTGAGCCTTCTTTGAAATGCA